TGATAAATACCAGGAAAAAAAATCAAACAAAATTGACTGAAATAACAAGTAAATCAAAAATGTGAACAAGTCTTAAATATACCGTTTTAAAGAAATTTTATCCCATGGTACTTTAAATTCTAATTACCTATTTGAAAAGGATTTGACCATCGAAAGCTCGCAACACTGGACACGATGTCGCATTGATCTGCTCAAAGCATGAAGGTGAATAGATTTGAGTCACGTGTTCAATGCTTTGTTATTCATGAGGTCAAAGGCGGGTTGAAATTTGTAAACAAGATGCCTTTACTATAGAGACAGGTACCCGTGATTTTGCACCTTTTTGGAAAATAATATGTGAGCGCACGACTGTTTCAATTTCTTTCATGAATTAAAATGACAAGTTTAACTCTTTACATTGACCCTATTTACTACAACTTGAAACATCAATGCGCTCATATAAAAATTGGGCTTTCAAAATGGGGGTGTGGCCTAAAGTCTATGGGAAATCGATGTAAACAACATACCCCTGCTATATTAATCAGATAAATACCCAATTACAGTGCAAGTAAGTGCAAATTGAAAATGAAACTAATAAACTACAATATTTGATGAAAAGATTAAGACAAAAATATGTAGAAAATCTTTAATCTTAATTTTTGTAAATAATCGGGGGGCCAAATGTGGACGTTTAAACGATTCATTCTTTATCTACTTGTACTTGATTTGCATAATATACAAAAAATTAGAGCTTAAATCAAAGTGCATCCCATTGGTTGTTAAATGTGGTTCCACAGTATGGGAAATGGATCTTTTAAAAAAAGATTTTCCCGACATATGTAGGTGTAACTATTTTGTTTTATAGACTTTTAAGCCTGAATACTGTTCGTTACCTCCATATATTTCGTTGAGGAATATAAGCAAGCTTACTAAGGGTAGCAGGTAAGACAGGATTGTGTCATAGGCGCTTGGTTACAGGATGGTGTATTTTGTGTATTATGTGTTTTTCTATTTGTGCATGAATACCCTCAATAAAATAAAAATTAAAAATCGCCGAAATTAGCACGTTTTAAAAATGTCATATTCACTGTATATAAAAAAGAGTAAAGGAGCGTCACTCGCCATCTTGAAAATCAGGGGGTGCCTCGGTTCACACTAAGTTTTCATCTATATCTACATTTTTCCTACCGGTGTTGGACGAGATCTAGCTTCAAAAGCGCCTATGGATTGTGTAAAATGTAGTTTACAGAAAACCATGCAAGACCTCTCCATAATTGTACAGTACAGATTTATTTAATGTATTTTCTTCCTGTTACAAAGTCTAAAAAAAAAATCCAGCCACATTGCAGGGGTAGCTAATACTGGCACATTACGTCTGAAGTCTCTCTTTTCCAGATTTTGATACTTTTGTCTGGAGGGTCTAGGTTCCTGGACCCACCGATAAACTTGAAAAACCTAGTAAAAGTCACTAAGAAGACTGGTAAATTTACTTCCATACTACCTTAACAGTAGTTTTTACTAAATACTCGGTAGATTTACTACATAACATTAGTAAATCTAGAATTTTTAAATAACTTCTCGAGGCATCTAGGTATCTATACGACATCCGCTCCACGATACACCTACTACATGTACTTAATAAATTAAATAGGTTTTTCTTTAAAGGTATATTTGAACAAACATGTTTTTATTTATATGGAATTTCTTATTATTTCCACCAAAGTAGTATTAGTTTTGATTTTCTAATGTTAATTTAGAGATTTGACTGTGGGAATCATAAGCACATTGAGTAAAGTAGACTTCGGTTGTTTTAAAGTAAAAATATACATGTGTTTTTTTTTTGTTTAAATTATGTAATTATATTTCATTCATCTCTCTATCGTCTATGTTTTTTCATATCAAATCAAATGAGAGACAAAAAACCAAAAGCGAGATAAGGGAGTGTTTTAAAAAGCACTTCTAGTTAAAGGGATTTGCCAGAGAATCAACAAAACCAGTTATTTCTAAACTATCCCACATTTCAAATTTAATGATACCCCTCGCATACTCTACTCTCTAGAAAGTGATTCCTTATATTTCCATTTTTTTGTGAAAACAAATAGTAAATTTAGAAATTAAAAATGCAGACAAATAGATTTAAATTACACATTCCGAGTGTCAGCTTCAATAGTTCCAGCATATTGACGTCACACAAATACAGCCGCACGAGATTTACATGTACATTGAGCCTTCTCAGCTCCTGACGTATCACTTTGCGAAATTGAGATGCCGACAGAATGACCAAGAAATCAAATAAACTAAAATTCGAAGAATTATTACAGAGAAAATAAAAATGAAATGGAAATTTTGCTTAATCAAGTAGGGGAAGCTAAAGATCGAAAAGTTGAAGTCATCGCGTTAATCTTAAAGCTTTTTTGATAGATTACCATTCATGTCTTATTTTAGTTAAATATCCAAACATGAAATAGAAGTGTAAGACTCCTTAGTATTTTTTTTATTATTTCAAATAAACTTAGATCGAAATATATAGGGATAACGAACAGTATCCAAGCACAAAACTTCATATAACAATACAAAATAAGAGCAGAGCCGACCAGTCACACGCGCCGTGTGCTTCTTGTCATGATCGGGAAATAACGGAAAAATCAACTTACATGTAGTGTGTAAATGATGGCTAAACAATAAGTAGAAGGATATGGAGATAACGAATAATATTCAATATCAAAGTTTCTTAAAACAATACAAAATAGGAGCAGAGCAAACACGGACCTCCGAAACATCAGAGGTGGGGTCAGGTGCCATAGAGGATTGAGCATCCCCTGCTGACCGATCACACCCGCCGTGTGCTCCTTGTCATGATCAGGAAAGAACGAAAAAATCCGTTGTCAATTCAGTGTATAATCAATGAACTAAAAATTAGTATGAAAAACGTCAGTCAGCATTTGACTCAATGATAAACCGTATTTGCTGACAAGGTCATTGTATCAACAATAGACCTTACGAAATGATGACTTTAAACGAGACTACTGATTTTCTTATATCATCAACTTGTTTGTTAATAATTTACCTCGTTTTAGAAATTTTTCGTTTGTAGATCTTGCTCTTATTGCTGCATAAGTAAGGGAAGTTGACGATAGAAAAGTTAAAGTCATCACGTTTATCATATAGCTTGGTTGGTAGATTACCATTAACGTCTTGTTCGAGCATGAAATAAATGTGTCAGACTATGTGGTATCTTTTATCTCAATAAATATTGCATCGACGTAGGAATGGAAATTACTATTGTTTATTATATTAATTTTAACAATAACTTTTGAAAAAATAAAAAAAACAGAAACAATAAACTTTTGAAGCAAAGCACACATGCACCCCTCAATTTGTCAGTGATTTAATTTTTTTTATATTTCCAATTTTTGTATCTAAATTTTAAGTGAGATTCTTAATGACCTTCCTTTTCTGATAAAAATAACAGTTTTGGAGGTATCTCATTCCTATTTCGTTTGAAATTTGATGATGGACACTTTATCATTAAACAGACAATCCTTTGCAGAGATTATTAATCCTGCAATATTAGGCAAGGAAACAAATAATCTTTCGTGCGTTCCAATGATAACGTCTCCATTTCTCGGAAACCGTCAATAGAAACATAATTATGGAGATAATAGATAATATTGAAGCTCAAACGTCAATTAAAAGAATTCAAATCAGAGGCAAAGTAAACATGAACTTCTAAAACATCATAGGTGTGATCAGGTATCATAAAGGAGTGTGCATCGTTAGCCGACCGAATACACACATCTTGTGCTCCTTGGCTAAATCGGGAAATAACATAATTCAATGTGTAAATAATGATCTAAAAATTGATATGAAAACATCAGTCAGCATGCATTGGACATAATGATAAGGTGTATTTGCTGATAAAGGCATTTTATCGACCATAGATCTTCCTAAATGGTGACTTTATACGAGACTATTCTTGTTTCATTAATTTTTTTGTCAATAGCTAAACTTGTATTGGAATATTTTCGTATGAGAATGCTCTTGCGTATTAAATCAACTGAAAACATAAACCCTCTATGCAAGCGATTGGTATATATTGATTTTCAAGGGAAATTGACTTAAAAAGTTTTATTTTATTGCGAGTTCGATTGCAAATATCTATTAATTTAATTTGAGAAAACACCCTCATAATATTTTATTGCTGAGGTGAAGGCCACAACAGGCATTCGTTTTTATCAAATGGATTCCTATTTAAATAATATTTGCTGAGAAGTAATATAAAAAGGTCGTTTTGTAAAGGAGGGCAATGGGTACCCCTTGGTATTCCAAAAATTGCTTTGAATGCATAGTAACCAAAAAAAAAAAAAAAAAAAAAAAACATAAATATTGTCGATAAAGAGCTCCAAAATCCTTTCGAATTCCTCAGTTTAATCGTGTGTAGAACTAGAATGTTTTAACAAAGTATGTTCGTATAACAACAGTCCCAAGCAATGAAAAAAATGGAGCAATTAATTTGAAAAAACAACAGTCTTCAGAACACTTACTTACCAATTGTATTTGCAAATAAGTCTGTTATATAGAACAAGATATCTGTGAAATATTTAATTCAATTTATTATCTTGATATTTTTGTAACAATAACATATTTTTCAATAGTCCTTATAGAAATTGTTCGTACAGAAAATGATGTTCTTACGTATCAAATCGACTGAACCATTAACTCTATAGGCAGGTGAGAGTGGACTATTACTACACAGTCTGTGAATAATATTGCTAGTATGTCTATAGAGACGCTCACAAAACTATTTGAGATTTACACAAAAGAATAAGCATGCATTAAACATACAAATATTTTTAATATGAAAAAAACCTTTTCTTCAAATATATTTATTATAACATGATGATATCATGCCGTTTAACGTGGTTTTGTTGATCCAGATGCATTATCACTATCTCTACACTAGACTTTTATTTGCATAACATTATTTAATCTTTGTGGTAAGGCGACTGCATTCTTCTATTCAAAGACAAAAAGAAGTATCAAAGAATGTCTTCGCTAAAATTGCTTTTCCTAGAGATATTAATACTGCAGAATGTTTCAGCAGAGTGTGATTCAGAAAATGGACCACCAGGGACTCCAGTGTGTGTTTTTATTTCAAATCCACCTTATGAAAGAGCCCAGTGGGCAACGTGTGTTACAAATACATACATTTACTTAGCTTCCAAAGGAAAGTTCTCATGTGTAGAGAAACATGCAAAATATTGTTATTATCAGTGCATGCTGGAGGATCATGAAGATGAATCAGGTATGTTTTATTTTTTATTCTTTCTTATTTAGGAGCTCAAAAAGATGGAAAATTACCAATATACGAATTATGTTTTCATTTAATGATAGGAACTGTTTCTGAAGACTGTGAGTGTAATGAAAACCAAACCCTGCCAATCAATAATCTTCCCAGCTGGTGTTACAGTCCTTCTGGAGATAATTGTTCCTGGTACTCTCAGTGTTTGGAGGTATTTTACGTGCGATATAACAATACATCTCACAATGTTTAAAAGTAATTTAACAACAGAATTTTGTACTACAATGAAGTTGGAAATTATTTTTATTAATGTGAAACCTATTTTGTTTCCTAGATTAATATTCCAATTACATTTGTTTATTATAAACATAAACGATTGTTCCCTCTGCTATGAATTTAACAACTTCTTTATGCTACAAATAATGACCATTATACTGATATGACCATTCAACGACTAGAAAAAGACAACTGAACTGAAGATTTTTCTAATATACGTTTTGTAAACGTTTCCCCCTTTTGTCAGAGTGCCGGTTTAGGGGGCGTGACAAATTACTTCTGTACTGATTTTAAGATTCTTAAGACCTTGACCAGAGGAAGAAGAAAAAGAAAACTTGCTGTGGCCTTTAACTCGAAAATCAAATATATCGACGGACGTATTATCAATAAACAATAGTTAATTTCATTCGTATGACGGGTATTTTTTGCGGGTTTTAACTTTGGCTTATTTAAGCGATTTATAGTGAGCCGCTAAATCTTAGTCGCCAAATTTGCACCTTTCATTATCGCTACTTAATACCAGAAAAAAAAAGATTTAAATAACCTTGATTAGTCTATTGTATTAGCATTTTAACGTTCATCTGGGATTGCCTTTACTCAAACTAATGTGTTAATTGTTCTATGAAACGTACTGAAACTTATATAAAATATGAATTAACTCTCTTTTTTAATGTCACAGAACTCTGTGTCTGCCAAAAACTGTTTCGACAAAATTATTTGGATACCTTTTAAGCAAGCAAAACGCCACGTTTTCCATCCGACATAAAGAAACCCGCTATACGCGTACGGTATAACAAATTGCTATATTTCAGAGTACTTAAGACAAAAGACCATGCAGTCTGCACATCTGTTTCATATTTTGAATATTTTACAGACTATAAACGATGAGGACAAACGAGATGACTTGGTTTTTCCATCGTCGACTTTCCTTATTAATGTACTTATATTTCTCTTGCGCCTGAATATGGTATTAACGTCTCCCTATAAAATAATCTGAAAGAATTGTGTAAAGAAAGGCTTCAAGTTACCTCTTTCCATCAGATGATAGCCTATTTGATAGACTTCGGCCTAGGGGCTCATATTTTTTCAAGGTTTGCAGAGTTTCATTATCTAAACACTCTATGTATGTTTTTATCTTAATATTCTTTGATTTTTTTTTAATTGTTGTAAGTACCTCATTTATTTTCCTGATCAGCAGTTTTTGTTCTTCAAGTTCTGATTGCATCCTCGTATTTTTTTTTAAATTTCTGATTTTGTTTTAAATTATTTGGTTAAATTGTTATTTTCTTTTTTAATTTTCATACTTTAATTAACAAAACTTTGATTCTATCTTAATATGAGCTTTCTTTTGACTGTGGGATTTGCCTTCTTTTCTTTTGTCTAACAATTTCCGATTGCAATTTAAAAGTTTTTCCTGCTTTTAAATGTCATATCTTTTTTGGTCAAAATTATCTTTTAAACAGCAATAATACCGGAAGATCCAAGGTGCATCTTGCAATTTTTGATTATCCATTGTCAGAAACCCCCTTCTTCTCTTAAGCTTCGTTGACACTTTGATAAGAGAGATATCTCTAAATGAGATAAAATCCTTTACAAATTCTCAAGTTTAAAGTCTATTTCTTATCAATTTTGACCTTCAATTTACGCTAGTATTGTTTTTAATTTAACAAAGGATGGAGATATAGAACAGTATAAAAATTCTTGAATCATTACAAAAAAAGCAGAGCAACGTGGACCTACAAAACGTCAGAGGTGGGATCAGGTGCCAAAAAGGAGTAAACATTCCCTGCCCATCAGTCACACCCGCCTTGTGCTCCTTGACGTAACCGTCGTCAGTCCAGTGTATAAATAATGAACAAACAATGAGTATGAAAAAATTCAGTCATCATTAGACTCATTGATATCTCACATGATTTCATCAAACTAGATTCTACAATACGTAAGGTTGCTTCTGTATAAAGAGTGTACTGCAGAAACTTGCGAGTATTCCCTATTTATTGAGAAGGACATTCAATACCCGCGTTATTTCTAAATTAAGACCCTGCTTCGTAGAGGAATATGTTTACGGCGGGCAGGACCCGATTAGCATCATTTTAGTTGACCTTTCTATTTTATTAATTTTTAAATGTGAATTACTATCGCCATTTTGCAAGAGAAAGGTTAGAACAATGAAAAGCACAATGGCTAGTGCACCTTGCACACCATTTTGAAAGATATGTTGTAGATATTTTACATGAAATACCAGATAGAATTATGTCACTATTATCGCACTGCATGTGAAACATTAACGACCTCCATATGTTTAAGTCTCGTTTACAGTCATCATTTCGTAATTCTATGGTCAATACAATGACCTTGTCAGCATGTACTGTTTATCATTGAGTAAAATGCTTACTGACGTTTTTCATACTAATTTTTGATCCTTTATTTTTCCGTTATTTCCCGATCAGGGTTAGGGTTAGGGTTAGTTAATTGTTATTGGTGAATTAATTAATAAAAATTGTATTGAAGTCTATGGTTACAAACTTTAAAAAAAATACTTCGGGGAAAAGATGCATTTGAACTTTAATAAAGAATGACGATTGAAAACGTTTTATTAATCAGAATAGTTTTATAATAATTGATTTTTTAAAATCAATTACAGAGGGGGAAACCCTTACCAAACATAAAGGCCATAAGTTATGACACATCTCACACTTACATGCAAATAATAATCAAAATGGGAATTACGATTGATTGATTGATTGATTTTATATTGTTTAAAGTCCCCCTTGAGAATTGTTCACTCATATGGAGACGCCAACACTTGCCAGTGGAGAGCTGCAAATTTTGTCATTTACTCTGCACTCAGGGCCTTTGAGCTTGGAAGGATCTTTTTCGTGCCACCACGTACTGGTCACGAGACATTGGTTTATACATTCTCATCCGAAAGACCGGGGTATTATGTGCATATATGCATATACTGAATTTTAAATACCTTCATATTTGTTATGCATTCAATTTTATTGAATTTGTTTGCTATATAAGGGATGGGATACATTAACTTCTTTAGCTAGCTTCTGACTGAAACATATGGAGATAACGAATTGTATCGAATGTGTGACATTATCAAAGATTTGCCTTATATTTCTTATAGTTTGGGTAGTACATTCCAAGGGTTGTCAGGACATTCCGTTATTTAAGGTCTTCCATGCGTTTTACTCAAAGCCCCTTAACCATTACACTTACATCAAACTGTGTAAAATATTTAAACCCCCCTACATCCCCTTCACCCAGGGGCCATTAATGGAACAAACATGAATTTAAACTACCTGGGGATACCTTTTTTTTTATAATATGCCCAATCATGACTTTGCTGATCTAGTGAAGAAGATCTTAAAAGAAATTTCCTACATATTCCTATGAGAAACTTCGACACGTTCTTGCAGCCCTGTTCTACCTTCTTGGTTAATGATATGAACTAACTTTAACCTACAGTATGTGAGCAAGCTTTCACAAAAGTATAATCTTTTCTTGCCCCGTGTTTTTTCTTTAAAAAGATGCCATGAATTATTAACTATCTTGATCCTTTTGTAAGAGGGCGCGGCACTTCCTGTGAACAAACATTAATACCCGTCATTCAAGTATAGTATTTTGGCAAGTTTGGTTGAAATTGACCCGGTGGTTCTTGAGAAGAAGTGAATATATGAAAAGTTTACAGACGCCAGACGGACGCCAGACACTCTGATCAGAAAAACTCACATGATGTATGTTCATTACTGAGTATGTTATTTGACTTTATGTTTTTATATTGTGATTGTTTTTCGAGATAGGAGGCATTTATCTTATATAACCTTATTAATGTCTTATTTTCCTTTTTTTTTAACCCTTATCCTGCGGTCAAAGTTTTGGCTTATCAGTTCCACTGCTGCGGCGAAAGTTAAGTGTAAACAGATATCGAAGTGGATGCATACTCCCTTTACTTATCAGCTTATAGCATCCTTATCTTTGATGCAATCAACACATAAGTTGTGTGTAAAATATGAAGAAAAGAAAGAGCTTTTTATTCATATAAATTTTATTTCTATATTCCTACAATTTATTGCATTTATGTCGATTTATATTTAACAGTATGGATAATTGATAATAAGTCCGAATAACTATTTAAATGCTATAAATATCAATTATAATGATACATTAAATATCATTATATTAACTTTAGATAGTAGCTTAATTATATTCCTTTTAGTGTATAAACTTATTTCTTTTCTTACAAAGCTCCGGAGACAAAAAGCATGCATATTTAGGTCAGCCATTTTGGAATATTTCTTTGTTCTGGAGTACCATCTATTTTGGATGGTGATTATGTACATGAATCTTTCTGATTGGTGTATATTTTTACAAATTCTAAACCATTGGTTTATATTTATACTTGTTTCATTCATTGACATGGGATGCTCTGCTAAAAATAGCAGGTAAACAAGCATCAGATGAGGAAACCCCTCAAAACGACCTGAGGTCGCGATCCGCAGCAGCAGATCAGATAAGCCAGCGCGACTCAGTGTCGCGATTAGCAGGATAAGGGTTAATTAGAAAAAATTCCCATGCCAAGACATGCATCAAACATCATACGCCATTAACAATGGTGTTAGGTTTTGCCAGCTTTATCAAGATCACTTTAAACAGTTCTCACCAGCAGGTCGGAAATGGATTAATGCTGTTCGTGGATGCTTACAAGTGGCACTTGTACCCTTATTGCGCCCTTTTCGAGAAGTAACTTGTAATGAAATACAACAAAAAGCATTTAATTCTCATATAGAATGCTATGTGTATCCCAATAAAGATGTGCCATCCTTTTGTTCTTTACCAAACCATGACAGATTCAAAGCCCTTTTCACAGTTGGACCTGAACTATATTCAAATTGTGTAAACAAAGTATATCGGGAGGCATGCGCAAATATCTATGAATCGGCCAAACAATTGGTGAACGTAGTATATATTAGTTGCCCTATTCATGCAACTGATGATTTAATTAAGAATATCCAGATCATATTTTCGAAATCCGTTGAGAAAACAAAAAGATATCGAAGATCACCTACACCAACGGACGACTACGATGCAGGAACAGACCTGATAGTTACAATTGAGAAAAGATTGCGATGGAAGCTACGCGGAGTCACGTGGATAGGGTATTTTCGGAATAACACATTGGACACATCAAACGAAAAAATAAACAGTTTTCGAACATTTCATATATTATTAGCACCAAGCAAATTGTACAACTTGAACTATAAGACGAATGTTACATTGAAAATAAACATGACCGAAATTTTGAACGAAGTAACTTTTTCATTCAAGAATGGTAGCTTCACGTCAAATATGATAAATGGGATTTCCATTGAAAAATATAATGTTTGTGGAAATAGGAACTGCTCCGAAATTACAGTAGAAGTGAAACCATTAACCTCCGTCGTCACAAAAGACCAAAAATATACATTTTGGACAATGGAGAATGAAATCTTAGTAGTAGTTGGTTCAGTTTTGTTCTTAGTAATATGTATAATAGTTTTTGCTTGTTTTAAGAGAAAAAATATGTAAAAAAAAATGTTGCAATTCAATTTTTCCTTTCAGTCTTATATAATTGAAGAATAAACACATTTAAAAACAAGCAATAGTTAAGTTCTTTATTACAGTAATATATAGTTTGAGAAGTATTTTATTCATAATATACAAATTGTACAATATGAATATGGATTACAGTAATATATCAATTTAATCTGGTCTTTTATATTAAATCACGTACCACTATAGGTTCATGTCTTTAAAAAATGGATTAAGAATTTATCTTTTACTACGTGATAGATGATGTCTGCTTAATAAAAATGATATGCATTGATGCAAAAATACTCAATATTTTCCTCCCATTTGTCACAATTTTTATGGCGTTCTACTATTCCATATATTACGAGCCTAACGAGGCTTTTTGAATGATATTTTAAACCCTAGCATTAATTTACCGAGTAACGTTTTAAAAGAATTTTCCGGTCCTTAAACTTGGGACTTAATAACTTTAATTAAGGAATCACTGTATAGTTAGAAGAGTATGCCAGGGCATCAACAATAGTGGGAAACATGGGGTAATTTGCATAACGGGCGAAGCCCGTTATGCTAAAATTATCCCATGTTTCCCACTATTGTTGATGTCCCTGACATACTCTCCTAACTAGACAGTGATTCCTTATATTTCCATTTCATTGTGAAATAAAATTATAGATTTAGATTTAAAAATGTAGATATAGATTTAAATTACACAAGGACTCCCATGCGGATTTCAATAGTCCTCGCCCACTGACGTCAGAAACAAAGGAAGCCGCACGAGATTTACATGCATATTTGGCCTCCTTAGCGTCAAGCACAGAGACAGATGCGCACGAGATTTGCATGCGTTAAGGGCCTTCTTAGCTCCTGGCCTATCGACCTGCCTAATTTACATTCCGGTAGAACTGTCAAGAAATCAACTCCGGTAAATTTCAAAGGGTTATCACAGAGAAAAAAATTAGAAATGGAAACATTATTAAATATGCTACAAAAAGCGATGCATAGCTTTGTGTATTTCGAATATGCAATTCGGCCTTTGAGGATGCGTTAGTGATTTTAGCATAACACTTGACCTAAGAGAGGGTAAATAAACAAGAGCAACTAAGCTTTCAGGGTACTTTTGTTCAGAGAGCAGAGAGAAAAAGACGGATATTTAGGATTTAAGATAAGCTGGGTGAATAGCCTTACATTTTATCAATTTTAAATGGATTGCCAGATTGTAATCTGAATATTACTGTTCGTCCTGAATAATGACAACTTGTGTAAAACTTCTGTTTTCAGAGGCTGACATAAGTAAAATGTTAGGACTAGATATCGGGATGGACACTGCTAGCCCGAATAAGGCATATCATGTGTCTGTTCTGTGGCATTTTTGAACCCTCACTTCCTTTTGTAAATAGTAGGCTGACCTTCAAGTGTGTTTTCTCCTAGAAAGCGAACGACAATGTCTGTGTAATTTTTAAGGCTAATCGTTTAATACAATCATTTAAAGAGGAAAGTTATTTAATTGCTTTATTTATCAAAAAAAAGCCGGAAATCCTGTAAATAACAAGGTACCCCTCAACACGTTACGAATTCTGGTGGCTGCAGTGTGTTCTCAGTTAAATACTGTGATAACTTGATGATTTCTTTTAAGATTAAATTTGTACTTCCTAACACTTCCATAACTGAGTTGTATTTTAGAAAATGTGATGGCTTCTGTAGAGAAGGAATCTACAGGAAGGCTTGTCTGAAAACATTGAAAAAAGCAAACGCCAGCTGGGATACAGGGATATCTGAAAGCAGGCGTACCACATCAGGCGATGGCTACCAAACGTCAGGTGCAAAATCTGATCACATAAGAATTACTAGCATCCAGAAAAGTGACAAGCCTGGTTTTGTCGTCAATGAAGAGAGTCTGAAGAGCCCAAATCCAAAGTTAGTATCTAGCACGCTATACCTTCATTTCTGGATAATTTCCTTACAGACAATAATACACGTAGTCGCCAAAAACTTTAACTAGTACTTACAGGTGTAAAAGCAGACACATGTAACAGCATATCATCCTCATGGAGGGGGGGGGGGGGTAGTGGCGAACTTTTCTCAAGGTTATGTTCTTTTTACTTTCCTTGATATTTCTATACTGTTGTCAAAAGTTGGGGGGGGGGGGCAACCATCCTTTCAATGGACATTCTTTATAGTAAAGGTAATGTTGGCAGAAAAAGGGGGGCAAGCCCCCCTGGCCCCCTGTTGCTACGTCCCTGCTCGAGATGTATTCGACAAATTATCTGAAGGAGAAAAGTGCAATTACAGATTAGTCTGCATGTATGTAGAGGACTTAAGGAGAGGTTCTCCCCAATCAGACGGAGCTGTATAAAACTCAGCTGGGTGATCGATGACAGAAAGCTTCAAAATCATTACCAGAACTCGGACAAATTATAAGAAGGCTAACAAATTTAGCTGTTTTAAGAAAAATTAATAAATGAAATTCGGGATAGAGAAATGCAGTTGAAAGTAAATTATGCTAGGTCAGTAAATTTAAAAAAAGTTGTGACGCATATCGTATAATCAGACACGTTTACTGCTGCTGACAAACGTGTGCAATGAAAGTCCAACGTACACGAGGTCTACACAGAAGAAACCTGAGACATAGGATCCAATTAATTGCTGTATTGACTACAGTTGTGTTAGAACTATTAAATGGGTGGAATCGAGAGACTAAAGAGAACAATGCCAGGGTTAATCAGACTCAATGTCAAGAAACTGGTCGAAAAAGTAAGATTATTTGGCATTTCTGTAAACCCTACCCCTTAGGCCTAACCCTTAAAAACATGCAAAGGTCAAGTGCTTTAGTTATTAAAAAATTCTTGGTCCGGCGTCCGGCGTAAAATTTCTTGGTAAGTCTGAAAGCAAATCCGGTGTACCTTTATCATCATTTAACATCTCCTGTCAAAAAGCATCCAAGACCTTTACACACACATGCAAGCAGAGGTTGATAAGTATGTTAATGACATGTAAGGAAGAGATGTTCTCGAAGAGTCAATGAGTCCGTGGTCGGCTCTAGTTGTCTTAATGAATACTGGGAATCACTTTTATTCGCGAGAACTTAGTTTTCGCGTAATTACGCGAGACGGTATGCTCGCGAAAATTTCATTCTCGCGTATGATAGAATTCCTTAAGATTATATTGAGCAAAAACCACAATTCGTGAAAATTTTGTCTCGCCAATAAGTCAATAACTTTCTTGCGAAAAAAGGTGTCGCGAAAATTAAGTGGTCTACAGTAGATGTTTCAATAAAATTCTGCATTTAATATCAAAACATTTAATGAACCCATATTGCAAAAATTAATGAAATAAATAAGAATTTACCACTGGAATTTATCTATTCACACACAGTACCACCACTAGAGACGATGCAATTAATGGAAGACTTAGGAGACATCTATGTCGATATCGTGTGAACGTTTATCTCTTGGAAAAAGTTTGCTTTGGTTTCTTATCAACAACTACTGGACCCAAGCAGGAGCGGAACGAATCTTCTATATGATTCCACACGAGACTGAACGTCCATCATCGACCGACTGAGCCGCAGTTTTCACTCTCAAACTATGATTCCGACGAAGTTCTGACTCCTATTGTGGACTTCACTCACCGGCTCCGGCACAGAACATTGTTAAGCGGTTTATTATCCTGGCACTGGGATCTGACAGCCACTGGAGGATCACAAGTTTTTTACTAAAATGGACGATCCTACATAAAATTTGCTCAGCTGCTCGCCTGTTTTACTGGAAACGAAGTTTTGATTGGAGGTAACTTTAATTTGCTATTAACAAACATCAACGAATAAATTAATGAAACATTAAGATGAAGAAGTCAAGAACGAAAATCCATTAAACAATTCCAAATAGGATCAGAGCGAACAATGGCCTCCAGAACATCAGAGCACAACATTTTGGTTCAGCAAGGCATCAACAGCTTTACACCCATTGTTCAGAAGCTAGGTCACATGGATTGTATGATCGAACAATCCATCGGCCTGAGCGAATGCTGCGACAACCACGGCTTCACGAATGCAAGAGTGCAAATACAACAGAAACAAACTCTGTAGCCTCTAAAGACATGCAACTTTTTGAGACCAGACACGTGAAAAAATGGAGTCTCTCTAAAACTGTACCGGGATACAGCTACGGCTACAGACAAGAGAAGAGGCGGATTACTGTCCAGGACCATCTTACACCAAGACCCAGATGTATATCCTGCAAACTCCCCCAAAACACAATGGGAAAGACAAATCAAGATTGATATTTTGAATCCTAAAGAATGATTTACTATTTATTTTGAAGAACCAACTAATAGGTATGTAATATAAATTTCATATGCAATTCTGTTGCATATTAGACAATATTGAATTGAGTATATTTTGATAATTATCAAAGTTAACTCATATTCATGACTATTGAGTAATGAGTGGAGAATCTAGAATCTTGTCCAACAAATGTTTGATATTAGAGCTTCCTGAAAAAAAATAGCTTAATACTGTAGATCATTTAATTTTCGCGACACCGTATTTTTGCGAGATAAATATTTACTCTTTAGTAGCGAGACAATATTTTCACGAATTGTGGTTACTGCTCTATATAATCTTAAGGACTACTAGGCCTAATATACGCGAGAAAAATCCTTTGCGAGCACATTGCCGAAATTACGCTAAATTGAACTTCTCGTGAATAAAACGTGATTTACAGTACTTAAGAAGAAAATTCTGTGCTTTCGATGTCAATTCCATGAGAGGGACCCCGGAAGAATAATCATTTGTAAGCACATGACACAAGTAAGTAATTCGTTTATGAATTTATCAATGGATTAAGTGACAGATATAAATAGTGATAAATTTCAAAAAATCAAAATCAAAATGAATTCTAATCACCATACCTATACTGGATTCCTTGTCTTCATTTAAACATTGAATTCATATTTTGGGATGTCTTTGGTCCTAAAACACACCTGGCCGTGCCGACAAATTAAATACCGGTATGATAATTTGTTGGCAGGGCCAGGTGTGTTATAGGACCGAAGATACCCCAAAATATGAATTCAATGCTTATATATTTCGTCCATGTTTAATTTGAATTTAGCGCCCTTTGGAATTGGTGTGCTCAATAAACATAATAGCCATTTGTGACGTTGGAAAGCCGTTTGTGAAGTTGGAAAAGTAAATAACGCAAATAAACATTGCGATAAAAAAATGAAAAATTCATTTTAATGCACAATTGTTGTATTTGAAGTTAATTTTAAAAGGGTAGTTTTTTTTAAAAATGAAATTGAGTGAAAACAATATACATTTTGGTGTTCCTAAACATTGAAAATGCTTGTAGTTCCTACTGTGTATTCTACCGCGCTTTGACAAAGTTTCGCGTGTGTTATAGAAATTTGAACGTCGTGGATTTCTAATGGATTTCATAAAGAAAATTACACTGAATGTAAATATATATTCATTACAAAAATAAATAGCGGGTTCAAGTAAATATTCCATCGAGATACTTTGTTTTACTTCTCACTAAAATATTAACAGCAGTTCAATAGTTCTGTAATATTTTCGAGATGAGGTGGAGGTAGAGTATGGCTGCTTTAAAATTCCAACGATTTTTAGAAAATTTGACATTATTATTTTTTTACTAAAATCAAAAACATCAAACCTACGGCTTTTGAACACTTTATACACAAACATTCCCATTAATTTAAGACCATGCAAATCGCTTGTTGAAATCCTTGACAGCTACTTTAACTCTCAAATTTGCTAACGTTCTCATTGACCATTTGTCAAATTATTCTGATAAAAGCATTACCATGGAGTCCAATTATTATTCCAGGACATATTTACTATCTATGTATGGTATTTTTCCAAAGAGAAAATTTCCCCTGGTTTTCTCCTTTCCTCTTTTGATGAGTAAAAATCCCTTTACAATAATAAAAAACTCAAATACTTTTTTCCTTTATAAAAACTGGAAATAGGGTAAAATATTTCAGAAGAAATGAAATACGTTTTTACTTTTTTTAGCAATCGAAATGGTTATAAAAATTCTGAAATTCAATTGCCTCCCCCCCGAAAGGGCTTGCCCTGCACCCGCTACCCTTTACAATAAAAAAAAACTCAAATACTTTTTTCCTGTATAAAAACTGGAAATAGGGTAAAATATTTCAGAAGATATGAAATACGTTTTTACTTTTTTTTTGCAATCGAAATGGTTATAAAAATTCTGAAATTCAATTGCTCCCCCCCCCCAAAAGGGCTTGCCCTGCACCCGCTTGGCGTCTTGAGTGCCTCAGATCACTGGGCAATTTTCCCAATTTCTTCAGAAAAGGTAGAAAACCTAGATTAATCCATGTTTATAACTTTAGGTAAGTACTCCGAAATTACTTGAGTTTCTGATTAATAATGTCTTTGAAATTCTTTTTAGACCAGGTCCTCTAACAATCTTTAGGAAATTCCATGGATGCCAATACGCGAGTTTTGAGATTGCAACTCTCCTAAGAAAAAGGTGCAAAAAGTATCTATTTCAGCATGGAGGTGGGACAGGTTTTCTCGGTATACAAACGTGCATAAATAAATGAACGATATTTATGGCTTTTAAAATTTATTAAATGTTATGGAAGAAAATAATATTAAACAGTGATGCATTTGATGATTTTATCAAGCTCAACTATGCATATTTACAAATCTTTTTTTCAATTATAGGATACTTGAAAACGAAGGATTGTCGAAGTTTTGATAAAGAGAAACTGATCTTCTTTATTTTACAAACATTTTTTTTAAAAAAATTTAGTGTTTTTAAAAGTTATAATAAGGAAAAGAATCAATGCGTCATTTAGATTGCCGACGTGCAATGATCAGATGCATATGTACCGTATTTATTAAAGGTCAATATCTCTCCCCTTGTCTGAGAAGTC